CAAAACAGAACCATATGGAAACATCTCAGTGAGTACTCTAATCGGAACGTCACTACAAAAATACAAAACTACTACAAATTTTTATTTGTTCGCGAACCGTTCGAGAGGTTGCTGTCGGCTTATAAAAGTAAATTTTTGGCTAAAAATGAAGTTTATCATAAAAAGTTTGGCCGAGAGATTATAAAGAAATTCCGAAAAAACGCAACAGAGCACCAAAAAATGTCTGGGTATGGTGTTACTTTCTTTGAATTTGTCAAGTATGTCGCGTTTGCGAAAGCTTACGATGAACACTGGCGTCCCTACAGTCAGCTGTGTCATGTGTGTAGTATAGGATACAATTTTATTGGTTATTTGGAAACGATTGATGAAGACGCAGCATTCCTCATCAAAGAATCGAAAATGAATGGTAGCATTGTATTCAAGTCGACTCGCCATTCACGAACTTCTTCTGATTTACTGCGGTTTTACTCTCAGATTCCTTTACGTTATATTAACAGATTACGGAGTATTTATTCTAACGATTTTGAAATGTTTGGATTTCAATTTCCGGGTCCTTTAAAATCTCTAGTAAACTCGCAACTTTCAAAGAATAACTAAGAAGAGAACAGAATGTTAAACATTAAAAATGCAGCAACGGAAGCTGTATTAATGGAAACACATCGCTGCAACAAAAGTTGGTCTTGCGCATGCCCGCCAGATTGTAGGCGTAGGGGGAAAGGAGACTCAGTGAGAAAGGGGAAGCTAGGAGTCCGAGGCATGCACCTTTCGTTTGTCTTGGCGTTAACCCTGCAGTTTAATTTTAGATTTGCTCCAGTAAAAATATAGATTAAATTGAAGTTCCTTGTGTTTGACTTACGACAAACAATTTGTAAAATATGTTTTTGGGATTTGCTGTTTAGCTTGGTCACGCTCCAGGACCAATCTAATCTTCGACTGGTCAAAATTCTGGTCACAGCGGAGCTCTGGGGCGTGCGAGGCGGGCGCAGCGGAGCACCTTGGTTAAGAAAATCTGGTTATCCATGCATCCGAGAAGTTTTGGTAGGCACGTGAGCGTACGCCCGTCCGCCCGTCCGTCCGCACCACAGGATAACCAATGTAAAATGACCTTTTTTATTTTGTGTGGAGCCTGCAACCTGTGTTTAAGTTGATGATAGACGTCTCGCCTTGTCCCTGTACGGTGTTTTCCCACGCCTTCTCGGTCAACTCACTTGGGTGACGTATCCGAAGCGAACGGGCGAGAAACGCCTAGACAAAAACAGAATGCGCATGCGTGCGTTGCTGTATGACAAACAGCAGGAAATTATGGTTTTTAAAAAACCCTTGTGGATATTTGGGAGATCGACTTTTGCCGACCGGCTTTGAAAAGTCATCAGAATGTCATTCATAGTCCTGTGAAGATTGATTTCTGAACCTTCAATCTCATCTTTCCAACTGAACTATCGGAAGTTTGTAACTCTTAATCCATTTAATCGACCGCGCCAATTTTCAAAGTAAAAACGATAATTTAGTGACCCTCTGTGTAGTAACTTAGAGCGGAAATCTTGAATAATCAGAAAAACACACTTTGAAATAAAATTAATTAGCTGCGTATCAAAAAGTGCCCAAAAACTGAACCTAAAAGTAAAAATCCTGTAATATTCGCCGACATTCGCAGAACTGATGCGCGTAGTCTATGTGGGAAGCATTAAATTCAGCTTTGATACTGTAGTGGGTGAAGTCTCACGATCATGTTTTGAGTTAATCAAAGAAAGAACACACAACAACAGACAGAGAAATCATTTCTCCAAAAGTTTTTTTTTAAAAACCAGTAAATTAATCCTTAAAAAAAGCAATTCGCGTAACACTAACTTCGCTCGTGGATCCGTTCACTCCTACGAACAATCCTTTTCAAAGTCACGCGCCGCCGCTTTGTTATGTAACCGTTTGTATGACCATATACGGACATTAGGAAAAAGCACATGTTGAGGTTTTGTGGAGTTTGTTTTTTTCAGTGTCGCTGTGAAGAACGTGTGGCGACATGGACTTTTTGTACACCTTGTTTTGCTAAAACTGACTGTTCCTGGTTTATGAAGACTTTATTTTGGAGTACTATCCAGGCAGATAAGCTTTTGAACATTTTTAGAACTTCAACTAACCATTTTGGCTTGTAGACCTTATGCCAGTTGCGCGTGTTGAGTTAACATTAAATTTGGAGCTCACGTTTACAGTGTGTGTGTATGAATATCGCTGGATTCTCTTGCTGCAGTCGCTTCAGTTTTGAGTCTGTAACAACATGACTTCTTATTTGAGTGTCAATGCATTTTAGCAAGGAGTACTCACTGGGGACACTGCTTATGGTATTCAAATGAAACTGCTCGCACAAAGGGTATTGTCTTAGAACGAAATAATTTCGGTTGAGTGTTATGTTTTATTCATTAGCCAATGGCTGTATTTTTCCACAGAATTTTGGCCAATTGGAACGAAAAACCAATTAAAATCATTTGAAAACAGGTTTCTTATCCTTGCTGAAAATTCGTTGTGATGTGGATTTTTTAGGGATTATGTGGCGTATTGCTTTGCAATATTGTCTGTATTCCCTGGGTTCGTTTGAATCTGTTCTGTCAAAAATTCTCTTTCAGCAATTTTAAGTTCTCCTTTAACCTCCCGTCTTAGGGTTCTGTAAGCCGTCCAACAGAAATTTAGTAAGACTCATTTTCGCCTCAGGATTATCACTACTCTCAAGACGACAATTCATATCACCAAGCAGGTAAATAGGCACATTGATCGAACGACGAAGCATAAATAAAGGTTTCAGTTAGGTCAGAGTCAAAACATGACAATGAAGTATTTGGTGGTCTATTCGTTTATTTCTATCAGCTGACAATGCCAAATGTAGGCGAATTTCCTGGAGTTGATTTCTTGGTGACTGCATTCAAGTTTCAAAAGAGAAAGAAGAATTCGTCTTCGCTTGTTTACACATACGTCCTCCATAAAACATGCAATTTGGCATTTTCACGTCTTAGTCGTGCAGTGACGCAAAGAACTTTACGAAAAAGCGTGATGCACGTGCATAGTTGTTTTGCAAATCAAACCTATCGGCTACCCTAACTTTTAGGGCCTGTTTACAAGGAGAAAAGGGTTACCCTTGTGCTAGGGTCACCCTAGCTAGCGGCTTAAAGTTAGTTCTGCTTTACAAGCAAATTTCACAGGTAGGTTTACCCTATCACCCGGGTCAACTTTACGAATCTGAAATGGCGAACGCCTCCACTCCCTAACCTGTGGGGGTGCGGGGGAGAGAGTCCACCTAACGATAGCACAGTAGAATCCAGCGCATTTCACTCATGAGATATAGACAAAAGGCTATGACGTTATCGGCGTTAATGTACTTCAATTCAAACCAATGGTATTTCACTAAAAAGGCCTAAAACTTCCCTACCATACTACGTTTCTAGCATCCAGATTTTTTTCTCTTTAAGATATATTTTTCATGCAGCCATAACGGGTGAAAGACAACAATAACAGAACGGGGTCACCGATCTTGTTTCATCGAAAAAACACAACAAAGGGACAATTTTGGCTTTAAATGATCGTTTTTCCCGAAGGACTGGGGCATGATTCAAGACTAGCTCCTTTTTATCTCGGAAAATTGATCGCAATTGCTATTAAAACCATTTGGACTACAAGAGCGGCCTTCGTTACCTCCGTTTAGTCGGCCGGTGAATATCACCGCCGCGCGGTGCAAAACAAGGGAATTACCTTAAGTAAGGATTTAGAGGCGGGTGTCCGTAAAGCGAGGTTTAATCCGTGTACTCTGTTATTACAGATTCATCAAACATTTTGCGTTGCTTAAGATTTGCACGGAATAGTTCCTTCAAGAATAAACAAATAGAACATGAGTTGATTCATAAAATCTTTTAAGTGCCGTGTATCTAAAGTTTCTTGGTCTCCCACTTTTCCGGCTCATTGATCAGAGTCAATGAATTATTCGGCCGAAAGAGGCTCAGTAAGGATTGGCCAGCTGCTGCTGGAGGTAACACTTTTTCTTCAGTGTAGAAAAAAAAAGATCTCAACGTAACAAAAGCAAAATAATAATAGCCTACTAGGCTTTTAAGTCGTTTGCACCATCTCCATTCAATAGAGTTTTTTTTCCTACGATATTTGACAAAGGCACAGCTACTTCTGTAACAGGTCTGTTCAGCACTTGGACAATGCAATCAACGTTACGGATCCGTTGAGTGACCCTTGAACAATATCAAACCAAGAAAGCACGTTTCCACTTCTAGAATATGCATTACATAAAAAGAATAAAGTCAAGTCATTGATTTCTTGTAAAGGTATTACGTAGTTCCACAGCTGAACATTTGTCAGTTCTCCAATAAAACTCTGCTTTTGATCAAATCCACCTCCTGGTTTATCTTGTTCTTGACCGAGCACCAACACTCCTCCTCCTGAAATTGTGTAACCTCGAAAGAATAGAAATCAAGACCGTAATACAGAATCACTAGCCAAGAATATACTATATTAGCTTAAAGTCAAAATTAGAACGAAGCTAGTGAAGTAGATACTGGCGATCAAAGACAAGCGTTTGTCATACATTGCAAAGTGGTTAATCAAAGGGTGGTTATTCAATATGCACCAAAATGTCTCCTACCTTGAGACCGAAATGTTGCCAAACTAGAGATAACTAACTACCTTTCTGTAAATTAGTCCCAGAAGCCTTAGCTATACCATCCTTAAGTAGCTGCCACGAACCAACAGTATTCTCCCAAGTGAAACAGATATGGTGCCATCTCCCGTCCGTTGCGACCACATTTGTGGTTCTAAAGGAAAAGATAATGAATGATTGCACCAGGAACTCATTTTTTCTAATAAAGAAATTAGAAAGTCCAAGCAAACATTATTTATTTGAAAACATAGTGATCAGATTGACCCACGAATTGTTGTTCGATCTAGTCCGGTTATTATAGCAATATTCATTGAAGTGAGGATGACACTTGATAGCCAAGGGGTTATTTTAAATTTAGTCGGCATTTTATTTCGACGGTAGACGCACACTGATTTGCATATATAAACTGGGTATGTTATCCAAGTCAAGTAAGTCTAGGCTGTGAACAGCCCTTTGGTCGCGCGGGGAACTGGGGAGAGGGAAAAGCGAAAAGGCCTGCAGACAAACATCTGGGACCGCCGTTCCATGGCACCCGCTGTGCATCAGATCCTCATGCAAGCTCCTATTGGCGAGAACACTGACTGTCGACAGGTCTGATTGACATCGGCTTTTTTATCCGCACGTAGCTCGCGATTTGATCACAAATTGGCGATAACAAAACACACTATCTTTAGAAAAACGCTAAGCTGAAGTTTACCGTGTCACAATGCAATTCTCCATAGTTGATGTAGCTTCGGTTTAAGCTGCACTTCAGTCTTATAATTTTGGATCTGTAAATCACTATCCATGATAATTTTTTTTTGCAAAGAAAACTAACTAGCTGGGTCCAGCGTGATACAACATTGCAGAAACACATTTCATTCACGGACTAAGGAAAATCGCTTAGTTATTCAGATCCAGAAGGCACTTTGGAGAAAACTAAGAACCTTATTCAGCCGCAATAAAAAGCTTTACGCTTCAAAAGAGGTCAAAGAAAATGCTCTTTCAGTTGAGGGCAATTCCTGCTGACCAAAAACAAAAACCGCAGTAAAGCGATGTGTGCCATGACCTCTCAGTGTGAAACAAGCCGCTGAAATAACATTTGCTCAGCGAAAATGTCCACCTAGCAGAGGAAAAAACTTATGGGAACAAGCAGCATTTTGGCCTGAGGTAAAAGTCGCTATAAATACCCGAAGGTGTAATTCCTGTCGGCGATGGAAGCGCTGCTGTTCTCTTTGTACTTGTCTTCGGAGCTTCAAGTTCTGGAGTAGTCGTGATAGCATCTATACCTTTCGCATTCCAAGTTCGCCCATTGCAGGGGCTTGCTAAATTAGAAGCTGAACTAGCAAGACGAACGGCCTGTTGCGCACAATTTAAGCAACTTAAATCGGAAAAGCTTTCTCCTTGCTCAAGGGGAAATCTTAAGGATTCAAATGCTTGCGCTAATACAACGCTGTCTTGACCACTGTCAACCAGCAAGGTTTTTTTTCTCTGGAACCGTATAAATTCTCTTACCGGATGTCAGCGACTTTTAGCAAAATCGACAATGAGGCTCGCGCTCTATTTCACTCTGTTTTCAGAGGGAGCAAAACACCGCTCATCTTCCGTCAATTTTCCCAGGGGTTACTCACGTGCGAAATTGATTGACAGATAACAATCTTACTGACAGATGATCGGCAGGATAATTGCAAGAGGGCGGAATAGCGGCCTCAAATGTTTGTCTACAGGCTCTCTCTCTTCCCCCCTTTCCCTTCCCTTTCCTCGCTACTTTTTCGCCAAACACAGAGTCTGTTCACAGGCTTAGTCAGTCAGTCAAGTCATGAATATTTACGGATGGGTTTAGATAATTATTTTTTGTAACTGGGTCACACACATGAGTTTAAAGGGATACATTACATAAAGTAAAGAGAAAAATAAGAAATAATTTACAATTCATTGTTTCCAAAAGATGATGAAAAATAACTACTACTTTATGGTACTAACTACTAATAAATAGGAAATCTAGCTTGATATGAGACCTGGTTATATCGAAACACTTGGATATTTTAGCGATCATAGGAACGTGGCTAACTGGAAAGTCTTGGAACAGCACAGTCTCGGAGATCTTGAATACCCTAAAAGACTATGGATTCTACGACGTTTCCAGAGTTAGTAGGACTGGTGGAGGAGTAAGTGTGTTCTTACGGAGAGGTCTCACAACGCGTAAGGTCGAATCTGTTCCCTTCTCATCTATGGAGAACTTAGATCTTGATATTTCCTATGGCAACTCCACTTTAAGACTTGTGACTATTTGTAGACCACCGCGTTCCAAGAAAAACTGCTCCACACCAGCTACCTTTTCAAAGAGTTCTCCACTACCGGAAACTCTTACCACCGCTTCTGGCCACCTGCTGTTGAACGGCGATTTCAATTTCCACATGGATGTTAACACTGACGCCGATGCAAATAATTTCAAAGATCTGCTCGAGTCGGCAGGCCTTGCACAACATGTGAAAGGCCCAAGTTATCGCAGCACGCACACCCTTGACCTCATTATTGACCGCCAGAACGATATTGCGCTTTCTTCCTTTACGACTCTGATAGATCTTCCATCCGATCACCACACTGTACTCTCTTCTATGGCGTTTGCAAAGCCCGCTGCCTCCAAGTCACAATTTAAACAGCGTTGCCTCAAAGACGTCGACTTGGACGCTTTCAAGGCAGACATTGTGAACTCTCCACTCGGAGGAAAACTCTAGGACGGCGACCCGGATAGTCTGGTTCAACTCAGTCGTCGTACAAAGAGCAGCTGCCTTTGCTAGACTTACTGCCACTTTCTCTAGATCGTGAACTTAAAGATTTGATCTTTTTTATAAATGCCTTTACTGTAGTACCGATTTAGATGTTCGGCATTATGTATCTTTTGTTTCCCATGATCGTACAAGACTAAGTAACTCCTTTAATCTTCGCACCCCTTTTTGCAAAACATCAACTTTTCAGGCCTCGTACTTTAACCGTATCGTTAAAGTATGGAACTATGTTTGTAAGGTAGCCCCCCAACCAGTTTTTCCTCTCCTACTGCCTTTCAACTTTTTGTTCGCAAATTAATGAGCACTCACCTTTCGCCGGTATATGAAATCAATTACCCCTGCACGTGGACGCTAGTCCCTACGTGCCCATGCCACTCGTAATTTATTCTATTTTTTGTACGAATGTTTGAGTATTCATTTTATTTTATTTTAACCTGGGTCTTAATCTAGGTGCGGTGCCTCGCATGGGACGTTAGTCCCGTTGCACCTAGCCCTTTTGGGTTTTTGCCTGTCTTGCCTCTTTTTTGTTTTCTTTTTTGTGTGTGTGTGTGTTGTATTATAAATTTATATTGTATATCACAAGAGGAGCACCCAATAAGGCTGTGGAAAAAAAATCTTTGATACGGAACTTCGTAAACTAATAAAAGTTTTCTATGAAATCGTCGACTTTTTTTCGCGCTTGATATGTGCTCTGAACCTACATTTTGCTCAAACGTTGCTCAGAAAGGCAAAATTTGCTCGGGGTTGCTAGAACCGCGAAAAGTTGCTCCAAACGGCAAACGTTGCTCAAACGTTGCCAAGCCGGGTTTAGGGTTAGGGTTAGGGCTAACCCTAACCCTAACCCTAACCCTAACCCTAACCCGCTTTAAATTCTGCTCCCCAGAAAAAGCTACAATGAAAATTATTTAAATTTATAGTTTAAATTCAATCAAATTTATTTAAATCGCTGCACTTCGTTCATTTGTGGTAAATAAATGCATATTGATTCTGAGGTATCCCCGGTTAGATAATTTGTGCAAAACTCCTCTACACCGCCACAAGTTTTCCGAGTAGTGCGCTGTTTCGGAGTGATTTCTATTTCACCAGGTTCTTTTCTTTAGTTGTGTTCGTCTCATCAGCTCAGCTTTATTATTTCTGTAGTGTCTGCTAAAATGATCCATTGAAAGATATGTCGAATAAAGCTTCAGTAGGAGGTCACGAAAGGAGATTCGCATTTCACCTCAAGTATGGTTTCAAGCTGTCAACGGTCTATGCTTGGCTGAATTTAAACAATGGCTTCCTGGTCAGATGGGGGACAAATTTTCCCCCATATTTCGGTCGCTAAGGCTTGCGGCTCGCCATGACAATCGGGAAAGGCCTAGGAGCAGGTCAATAACAGAGTCTAGCCTGTAATGGAGCTATGGCCAATAACGACGATATTGGGGACAAAAGTGAGTGGCCATTGTGGCTCCGCCGCGCGTAGAGAAGTAGCATTTTTGTAGCTGTAATTTTAGTGGAGTAGGGTGTTCGGTTTCAACACGCACGCCAGCAGATCTGCAAAGCTAGTAGTTATCAATAATAATCTGATGATTTTGAGGGTATTACCTCTCAATACCCTGTATATTTACTTTAGGGTATACGTACACGTACCTTTTCTGGTTGTGAATAAACAGCTGAAAATTACGATAATTGTACAAAAGCAATTCATTGCTAGTTCCGGACGTGGCGTAGCTGAACGGGGTTCCATCATTTTGTTTGTCTTCGGTCTTCATCCAGAAACAAACAGTAAATGCTACAAGGCTAGGGAAGTCCCGGATAATGACGTAGCCTGATGCACCAAGAATTCTCGAAAATTGGAGCGCGTAATTGTCTGTAAAGCAAAGGGAAAAGTGATGAGTGTCTTAGGATCAAAGGAGGGTTATGTTTGAACACTACAGATAAGCGTTCATTCGATGAACCATTCCGCCGGCCATTTGATCTCGCTGTTCACGTAATATAAGGGGAAGATACAGCCGATCAAATATATCGGCCACACTACACGTGGAATAGCTGTTTTAACACTAATACTCCTTTGAGGTTTTGTTTTGATAGCTAGAACTACTCTTGGTTTGTCTTGATAGTTTTGTTACAATTATAGCTTAAACATTGATTACAATAATTTGCAATGTGCGATGGACAGTTTAGTAAAAAGTGCGACAGAATTTGCGACAGGTGCAAATAAAGTGCCATGATTATTAGCGGAGCTCCACTTTCCAGCGGAGCCCCATACCTAAGAAAATTTGGTAATCAACTGACCGTCCGTCTGTTCTTCCGCACCACAGGGAAACCAATGTGAGATGTCAAACTTTCTTGCTAGTAAGGAGGCTGTAACCTGTGTTTTGCTTGATATAATAAACATAGTACTATGGTCAATTGACAGCTGTCAAAACAGGGTATCCGCTGAACAGAGTCAAATGACTGTATCGCGGTCTCAGTGATCAATTCCTCGAGGTCACGTGTTTTTTTGAAGTTTTCCGCTGACCAGTTGTTAGCTTTTAATCGGTTTGATTTCTTTGCAATGGTTTCAAGTCGCTCGTCTGAAGTAAATTTTAAATGCTCGCTTTTAGCGAGGGTTAATCAACATATTACAAATTGCGACAGTACAGATGCTATTTATGAGAGTCATAAAAGCTTTAAATTCAGTGTTACAACGCCGTCTCTCTTCACATACGTGCCTTACCTTTGAACTCTTTTTCCAGTGAACGTGTTTGACACTTGCCCTGCAAATAAAGTGTTGAATTAAAGTAAAAAAAAAACCACTGCAAAAACCGTGTACGATCAATCTTGCTCAAGGTTAACCCTAACCTAACCCTAACCCTAACCCAGGTCGTGATCAGTCAAAATAGATCAAATTGAAAACGTTACAGGCAAGAAGACTTTTCCAGGGACTAATCAAACAACGTGAAATAGTCATATTGTGTAATTTCCGATCATTATTTTACTTCATGTATATTTCTATAAATTCGTGATATCTGAAAAAAACCTGACGAAGACTGGTATTGGCCAGTCGAAATATCGCAACCAAACTCTATTTCACGTTGTTTGATCAGTCCCTGCAAAAGTCTTCTTGACTGTAACGTTTGCAAATAAAGTGGTGAATTGAATTACTAATTATATAACTTACTTGCAATTAAGATTTTGAAAACGTGGCTGGTTTATGTCGGAGTTGTTTTTGGGACTTGATTTTTCTGAATGACATGAAGACTGACTCGATCTGGGAAAATTATCGGTAACTTGAAAATAAGATAGGTCGAGACCTCGATTTTGTATCCTTAGTAAATATATTATCGTTTATGTGGCTTCAGAAACAGCGATGGGGAAGTTTTCGAAGTATTTTATATGCACAAAATGTACCTTGTTTGTATCCCGCAACTGTTGGAAGACAAATCCACTTGAATGAACACCCCACTTATTGAGATCGAACATGTCATCAACCGCGCAGGAGTTAAGCTCGCATAAACCTTTTTGATGGAAGTTGTAAGAGATGCATCGAGTATCAGCCGAACAAACGAACACACAATGAAGCCAGTCATTGGTGTGCAAGGTTTGGTAAACATGGCCAATAATCCTGTAATTTTTAACAACTAAACTGTGCTTCTTAGCAAACGCTGTAGAATAAGTACACGATAAAATTGTAAGCAGCACGATCCAAGACATAATCAAAAAACTTCTCTGATTTACCCTTGACAACTGTTTATAATTTCAACCTCGTCTCATTATTTACGCAACTATGTTTTGTCGGTAACACCTGCGTGAACGTAATGTTGTTTGTCCTGTACAGAATGCCGATTCAACAGCCTGATACCAGTGTTGTCCAAAAACGTAAAAAATTTTAAAAAACTGAAAAGAGGGAGAATTACATTACTAAAAAATAATAATCAATAAAAAAGCAACATTCTTTTAAATTTTTTTAACAAATGAATATATTTTTGGAGAAGAAGTCAGAGATAGAAGCAAATTAATCTTGACGTGTCAAATTATAACTAGCAAAAAATCATAGTCTGTAGTGAGAATCTTACTAATGGACTTTCTAAGAAATGTCGAAAAACCTGATCTGTTGTGGGAAACGTTTTTAATCCGTGATCGAGTAACCATCTGTTTTAATATAACTGTATTGTTCTCCAAATTTATTCTTATCACTCTTTGCGTTAGGACAGGTGAAAATGAAAAAAACAAAGATAATAATGAAACAATATGCTAATGCAATTCATAAAGGAATAGGGCCAAAAAGGCCGCCGGAAATGCTGAATTCAGTTAATAAGTAGGCATGAAAATCTGTTCTTGAGTACCGGAGAACAACAATACTGCGGCCCCCGGCTTGTGTTAACAAATTGTCAAACAAGGAGTCGTCGACATGCAAACGTTTGTTTCTTTCCCGGTGCTATTACTAAAATTTGCATCGTTTTTATCAATCAAGGTTAAGTCCAGGCACTATAAATGTTCCTGCTTTTCAGATCAATAGGTGTTTAAACCCCGGAGCAATGGTCGTCAACTCGTGCAAACATCTGTGGACATCGTTTCGCTTGCTGATAACATTCATTAATCTTATTTATCTTCCGTGCTTGGGAAAAATGAACAAGACAACAAACGCAATAATATTCCACCGTCTCTAATGTCTCATCGTTCCTTGTTTTTCAGGGAATGTTACTAATTCAATATTTTTTGTCGTAGCCTATGAACATGAAATTATTGAATCTTGTCTGAGCCGTCGCTCCGGAACAACTGCCGTATAACAACGTTTCTACTTAAAGGATCATTGTTATCTTTTGATTTGCCATCCCTTAACTCCTGTTATTAATATGTCTGTCAGTTCTGGAATTATTCGTGATCAACGGAAAATAGTTCGTGTTATAGCTTTGCTTAAATCAGGCGATAAGTCAATTTTTATCAATTAAAGATCTGTTTCCGTCCTTCCCGTTTCAATCTTAGAAAGGGTAATTCAAAATCTGCCATTGGACTATTGAACTAAGCATAAAATACTATCGAATCTTCAGTTTGGCTTTCTAAATACGCGTTAATTATTTTGTATAATACGATATCTGCTGCTTTTGATAAGGATGATTTTACTGTAGGTATTTTATAGATTTGTATAAAAGCTTTTGATACGGTTAATCTCCAAATTTTATTGGAAAGCCGGATAGTTTTGTGATATCAGGGGAATGATTTACAGTTGGTTTGCAAGTTATTTAAGTAAAAGGTATCGATTATGTTCTATTCAATGATCCTCCTCTTCTCTTTACTTCATAAAGTGTGGTGTTCCTTAATACTCGATATTAGGGCCCTTGCTTTTTCTGATTTATTTTAACGAGTTACAGTAAAAAAAAAACGACTAAAAACCTGCGTTTTTCTAAGTTAGCCTAAAAAGGTTGTTACAAAAATGATAATTAGTACAAAATTTAGGCTATATAGGTTCTTAAATAGGTTCTTATTTTCTGAAGAAAAAAATATACTGAAGCTAAGAGCAGTTGGAGTCGGATAAGACACCTACGTCTCCAAAAAGGATTCTGAATTTTGACTAATCTTTTTTTGCCCAAGTGTACAGATTTTTTTTTAAAGCGTTTAGTAAATAAAGAACCAGTCTCAAATTTAAGGCTAAATAGGTTCTTCTTATTGAGCTCACGGAAATGGCGTTATATAAATTCTTGTATTATTATTGTATTATTGTACAGAGGGGGCCTAACTGGCAAATTTTAGCCTAACAGGTTCTTAGTCCGTTTTTTAATGAGATAAAAACGTTGCGAGGCTATTTTTCTTAAAAGGACTTTGAATGAGGAGCTTTTGAAACTGACAGCTTGTTGTCATCCGAGACGTTATCAATGCTTTTTTAAAAATCCAAATCAATTCAAACCCAGGCAGAAAAGGCATAGACTGGTCACTTTCACCTATTTTCCCGTCAGATCGTCTAGATCGAGCGTTTCGCTTTATGGGCGGCCATTTTGGTTTCAAATGTTCCGAGTCTAGCCTGGGATTGTCAAATCTGCTTAGGCGTGTGGGGGACGGTACCGGTGAGTGCTAGATAATGACGACCTTCCGAAAAAAAGGGGACTGTGAACAGTCCGGACAAGGTCAAACCTTGAAGGTAAGTAAATTGAAAAGAAGTAAATTCGCTATCGACAGAGTAAGGGATATAGCCAGGTTTTTGGATGTGATCCTTGATGAGAACCTCACATGGACATATCGCTAATGTTGCAAGGAAAGTTTCTTCATTCATTGGAGTAATATCTAGATCAAACTTTTGTTTTCCCCGTTACTTCTTCACCTCCCTTTTATTATTCGTAGTTTATCTTACTCTTATATATTGTGTTTCAGTATGGGCATCAACGTATCCCAGTAACTTAAATCGTATTGTTATACTTCAATAACCTGAATAAAAATTATTGGAATTATTTCTAAAAAAACATTCGATGCTCACACTTCACCTATATTTAAAGATTTACAAATACGGAATTTCCTGATATTTACCTGTTGCTGTTATTCTGTAAAAAACAATTTTCTAGTTTTAAAGATTTATTACAAGTGATGACAAATGGCGACAGTTTTGATTACAAGTAACAATGGAACATTCGACGTGTTCCTTTTTTGTGTTTGTTCACATGTTCCACCTTCCTGTAAATAATTACATTAGCAGGTGTTAGTGTTTTCCTTGTATTCAGTTTAAGATTTGGCAGTTGTAACAAATTCGTTATGTATATAGAAGACAAGCTTGTAGGTCAGTATTTATGGACATTAAAAGATATTACATCACACCATATTATCGCATGAAACAGTACTGGGTGCGTCCCAATAGCATACAATAGCTTGGCTGTATTCGCTATAATCAAAAGGGTAGAACTCGGTTCTTACGGCCACGACACCTTTCGACAAGCAGACATTTGTGTCAACGATAAACAATATACCCGTAAGGCTGCTAGAAAACTAACCTTTTTTTCAGCGGTTATCAAGGACCTAAATAATAAAGACATACAAGTTTTGAAAGTTCTTCCCCCTTCTGCTGCCTTCTGTTGGGACAGGTTTGAGAGATGTTTGAAGATTCTAGGTTACTACATTTTCCTTCGTTAAGAAAGACTGATTGTCAATATATTAAGAGCCCGGCAACGAAAGAGCACGTTTCAGTCCTCTACTGACAAATTTTAATGAATAATTTAACTTCACTCATTCATTACCTCACATCATCCTTTTCAAAAAACCACATTATGAATAATCACGACCATAACACTCATTAACGGAAATTTTCCAATCAATTAATTCTTCTGTCAAGGATTTCGAGCAGGTTCTAGCTTGACACGGCTGAAAAACTAAAGATGTTTCACTTTTATGTGGCGATGAAGGTATTGTTCAGTAACTTTTCAGTGTAAGGCCGGGGCAGGTAAGGGTCTGCATTTCGTCACTATTGGTGGTACCCTTTCATATCTGTATAGGCGTTCTGAATGAGCGTGGAATTTTAGGCACTGGTGGTACAACGGTAAGCTCAAATTCAAGTACTTTTGGATTTCAGTGACTGAAAACTGAATCGTTTCATTTAGCAAATACAAGGCTTTTTTCTTTGTTGGCTTCTTTTATTCATTGCGAAGTTCTTTATTCGCTTAGTTTTAATTATCTATCTATCTGGTGTAGGTGACTAAAAACTGAATTGTTTAAACAAGACCAACAATTGCGAAAACAACTTTCACAACCTTCTTTCACACTCAAAGTTGTTACCCACAAGGAAGAATAGAAAAAGTTAAATTACAAAGGAAACTGAAATATTACAAGGCTAGCTATTACAACTGACCTGATTTAAGCGTTTATTTTACCCGTTTAGAAATCACTTGTGATCCCTGCAATCTCATTGCATGTCTCTCTGGAGTGTGATTTGTTCACGAATCACACTATTTTTTTCTCTAAATCACTTCTGCTCTAAATCGCGTCATTCCTGTTTTAAATCGCACCGTTTTCGCTCTGTATGGCGTCGTTTCCATTTCGTGTACAAAATGAGATGTAAAAGCGTTTTCGTTTCCGCTTTTCAACAAAATAGATAAAATAAATTTTGGTACTGTCTGAATTCTACGATTTCAAACTGGTTGTAATAAAATGGTGGTTGAACTTCCTGTCCTGCAATTTTGGTCTGAAATCGTCTTGTGATTTCAAATAGAACTCACGCTGCGGGTTCGTCCTATTTTAAAATCACGCGTATGATTTCAGACCAAATTGAACTCCACTTTGTTCGATTATCATTGCAAGTATTCTGTGATTGGCTGTAGCGAGCTAATTTGCATCCATGCATTTATCTCCAGTTAGAGCCTGGAAGCTTTTCCTCATCAGGCTTTGGTCGTCCAGTCAATAAAAAACGAGGAAAACAAAATAAAAATTAAAAAGTTCAATTTTGAAGCTAGAAGTTTTACAAAACCAACGGGAAAAGTAATGAATCCCCGTTTCTTTTCAAGAGTTTTATTTGCATCTCGTTTCAAAACAGAGCAACTGAGGAAACTCTGCGGAATTAAGTTCTTTTAAAATCGTAACAAGTAGTCGGTTCACAGAGGGTGACAAGCTTCTTCATCAAAAGTTTTAAGAACGGACTTGATTGCAAAACTGATTCAACGTCCAAATTAAAATTGCAGCATAAAGAGGTAATGGTAACAGTAAGGACAGGTATTACGACAGTAGATGTTTACTATCAGAGACACGTTTGAGTTGAAGAAAGAATCTTTTGTTGCTATTGTGTTTGTGTTCAAGCAACTTGTTCGCTAAGCGAGAAGATACCAAGAGTCTTCGTTTACATCTTTGTGAATGTCTTTGCTTCTTTATTGTTCATAACTCGTACAGCTCTTACTAACACAACTAACTCCTAACTCCTGGTCGACTTCTTCTCACTTCCTACCAGATAGTAGCAGTTTTTATAACCAATCCTTAGGGACATGTTTGGGGTTAGTTGACCGGTGGTATATAAACAAGACAAATAAAGATGTTCTCCTTTTCGGTACATAAGGAATAAAAAGGAATGTCAAATACAATGAGTTTGCTTAGAAAGTGAGGAATGAGGTTTAAATTTTTAAAAATATTCGTAAAGTTTGGTGTTTTGGGATAAAAACTCCCCAAACTCGACGGTTATCTGAATGTAACCACGACATAGTTGTATTTAACAAACGCCGCGCAAAACTGACTGCACGGGACACTCGTGACACAACCTTTTTATCGTCTTTAAATCTAAACTGCAAACTTGATTGTTACAAGTTTTTATAATTGTTCCTAGCTAGTTTTTGTTTTTTAATTAATTATAAATCAGTTTTTAACAAGAGAGAATATTTATTCTAGGTATGTGCAGGGTCCCATTAAAGAGCACTTATTGGTAAAATCAGCCCCTCTAAAATATGATTTAATATTATGATTATTGTGAAACCTAGAAAAAGAAAAATAAGCTGAATCCTCCGTTGCTGTTTGTGTAACACTTTCATCTGTTGTTAATGTTGATTAGTTTATACAGGCGTATTCTTTCAGGGTATAACATAGGTCCTGGTGATACAACGATAAGTCAAAGTAAAGTTCAATTGTTCCATCAGTATTTCCACAATGAAATCAAAAGGAAAGTGTTACCTTAATCATAATCAAATTCAACAACAATGCAACACCGATTTAAATGTCAAAACCTTCAGAGTAGAACTGGGGAGCTTATGTACATGTAATGTATATGTAAAGTACATAGTACGTTTGCATTAAGAAAATGAGTAAATAGAAAAATAATCACCGTCTGTTCTATATTTGGTTTACTGCAGCCTAGTGATCATCAATAGACAGAAAACTGACAAAAGGCATGAATTAACACAATGCTGCAATTGATAGCGCTGTCACTTTTGCATAAACGAGTTAGCACAGCTGAGAGGGTTGATTCCATATATCTAGGAGGAGTTACATTTTCGATACTTACACAAGTCCTAATCAGCCAACATGTTGCTTCTTATGATAATATCATCTGCCCTCGCCTTTACCAACGGTAAGTACATGAACACTTTATTAAATGCGCTTGTTGAGACAATAACATTGTAGCTATAAAAAGCAAAGGAGCTGCCAAAAGAAAAAATACTGACTAATTCACTTCAAGAAACAAAAAATTACTGAGTGGTCTGCAATGGGTTCTTATTGGTCCCCAGTAAGTAGTCAGAATTGAAGAAACCAGTTAGCTGAAATTGAGTCTAGACATGTATAGTTCAGAAATCAATTCACTAAAATGAATTTAGTCAAAGGTTGATATTTTAAAGAGATGTGATACAAAATTGCGTGAAGATTGGAATTAGGGGATTGCAATTCAATAAGGGCCATATCTCAAAAGTTTCACACAAATCACATTCATTTGTTGACTTCTTAATTCATGGAATACTTATAAACTTTTTCCTCAAGTCTCACATGCCACTTTAGATCTCATAAACTGAAGTATCCGCCGCAGTTTATCATGACATAATTGACTTTTCGTCTTCTTGTTTGTATTTTCCATTGTTTTCTTTTTATTTCTACAGTTTAGTTGATTTTTTTCGCTCATTGTTTTTTTTTCTACTTCTATATCTTTTTAAGCTGCAACGAAATGTGAACAACTCAGCTCCCAAGCCTCACAAAATGGCGGTTTGTTAGGTTCTTTCGTACCCAAGTGTAATACTGACGGTAGCTTTAGCTCGGAACAGTGCTGGCCTTCTACCGGGTTCTGTTGGTGCGTGGATATATTCGGAGAGGAAATACCTGGAACTAAAGTCAGAGGGAAGGCAGACTGTAGCAAGACAAGTACGTTTGCATGTTTTTTTTCTTCTGCTTTGCGTATTTGTTTTCTGCAAAACCAGTCCAGTTAGTTTATATTAATTTATATCAAACGATGACGTTTATCGTTCGGTCTCTTGTGTAATCTTCTATTATTATAATGGTTAGGGTTTGTTAAGTATAAAAACTTTCATTTCGGCGTTTGTTCACTGTAGAGAGTATTCATTACCGAACGATTTAAATAGCGTTGAAAAAGCTTACAGTGGTACACAAAGTGTCTTTTCGCTTACAATGGGCCCATGGGTCCTGGCTGGTCCGTGGTAAGTATTTCATCATTCACCGTTAAAAAATAACGCTGCTTTAAGGTTGAGCTAACACTGGATTTTAGATTGATAAAACGATGTCCTTGTAAAATCTGATTTAAAGCCACGGACATATATCGAAATAAAAATATTCAATGTTTGAAAAAAAATATGATGCGAAGGCCATTCACTTTTCTGCTTTGTTGAGAGTGACGTTATTATTAGTGATTTGTCTTTTTTTCTTTATATTACTATGACATGTAGTAGTCTGTTATTACCTTCTCGTCCTTTTTAGTATAGTTATCGTATTTAATTTTTCGTACAATTGAGATAAATATCAATAAAAAAGAAAAAGTCTTGTTTTGAAGATAACAGAAAATTTTAGCCTTTATCTTCAAGATCTCTGTGCAACTTTAGCTATTTTTCTGAATCATTTGCAAATGTCATGTAAAACCGTAATTTGAAATCATTTCAGAAATCTGTGATTTCATTTCTTTCTAAAAGAAGCGATTTTTTTCAAAAAAAATGCACTAACAATAAACTGCGATAAAATACTACTTAAATTCATTTTAATAAATTGTTTTTTTTTTAAATAAGGACTTTCAAGGAAAGGACTTCTGTTCCAGCGATTTCTCTAAAATTTACTTGGCATATTTATATATCGCTAAAAGCCGATACCTGAATTTGTTATTATTACCGAAGGACACCTGAAGTCGTTTTCAAAGTTTCGCGGCCATCGCGTCTGAATATTTAAAAAAAGGTATGACGAAAAGTTCGTCAAAGCTCAATGCGTCGGTTCTACCAGGGTGTATTTTATGCTATGGCTATTCCGAGTGATTGCTTTAGCTACATGTCTGGGGTAAAAGTCAATAAATCTAATTAATTCCAAAACTGAAGGACTATGGATAGGGTCGCTAAAGGATAATACGATAAAACCTTTTGGCATCAAATGGCCTGACGAAGCAATAAGGCCTAAGGAGTCTTTTTCACATCTCATCAAAATCTGCTGCTCGAAAACCAATTCAAAGAGAAAATAATTAATGATAAATTTATTGTAATCGAGGGGTCTTTCAATTTATGGTAAATGCTAACGGTTTTCAAATCACTCCCTTCTAAGTTTGTTAACACCTCCTACTCCATGCCCTCTCTAAACTTTATAATAAAAGAATTACATGAGTTTATTTAAGACTCGCTTTTTATGGAATGGCAAAAATAAGGTGACCATATTGTCTGCAGTTAACAGCCATGAGAAAGGAGGCCTTACCATTATCGATATAGAGTCCACTATTCGAGTTCTTAGTCGATCTAAAACGTGCTTGGAAAATATAAAGAGAGTCCAATTCACCTCGAATAAATGTGCATGGAAACTATATCTCAAGCATTTATATCTAAAAATGTGGTTCTCCTGCTATACAGTTGGAATTTTAACGACATTGATGACCTTTCGATTCAATCACTGTTCTATTGTGAAGAAGTATTTTAGAAGGCATTTGCAGCAGATGAGGACAGGCTGGCGTCTCATAATCGCACTGTTGACTTACCTCAGAGTATCACGTCAATCACGGCAAAACTCCTTTCGTCTAGCTGCTCGTTTTTATTTTTCATTCTCGTAGTTGATTTTATTTCGCTCATTGGTTTTTTTCTACTTTCGTATCTTTTTAAGCTGCAACGAAATGTGAACAACTCAGCTCCCAAGCCTCACAAAATGGCGGTTTGTTAGGTTCTTTCGTACCCAAGTGTAACACTGACGGTAGCTTTAGCTCGGAACAGTGCTGGCCTTCTACCGGGTTCTGTTGGTGCGTGGATAAATTCGGAGAGGAAATACCTGGAACTAAAGTCAGAGGGAAAGCAGACTGCACCAACAAAGGTAATGTCGTGTAATCTTCAGCAAGATATGAACCGGGACGATATATCCCTGGATTATAGTGCGCTAACAGCTTAGCTGTCCCGAAGAACGTTCCTTTAGAAGATATGGTTGACCAGTTTGGCTTTACAACTGAGCCGGGAAGTAGGATAAGAAACAGTAACTAACACAGTTGAATTCCCCTTTGTATATATAGCAGATTAAACTGTTCTCCTGTTTTCATCACACAATGAAAACTGAACTAGAAAAAGCACATACGGGTAGTGGTCTTCTAATTTTGGCTTAATAAGGGAGGTTGTGGATATTTCTCTCAAAAAATGACCAACCGTATAGATATCATGGTCTGCTTGGTCAAGGTTACTATGCCAACGGAGTAAGCCGAATTTCAAGTACGCCTACAAAAGAATTGGCCGCCAAAAAAGCTAGAATTTCTCTAGAAGACAATGGGTTGGTTATTTAAACGAAGTTTAACCTTAACTTAGGCCGTGGTTTACGAATATCTCTTTCTTAGTGAGTTAATTTAAGAAGACATGTGCTTTTCCAGTCTACGCCATGTGCTTTATTGAAATTGCTGACCATAGATGGTGTTTAGATAAAAGCGTTGGGCAATGATAATGGCATAGAACGCGGTTTTGTTAAACACGGGCTAAACTCTGTTTAAATAACTGGTCCGATATGTTTCTATTTTGCGAGATTGTTTATGCGTTTGGAAAGCCTGTTTGGTCCGCCATCTTGTTTAGGGTACACAGGAGCCCGGAGATCAAGAGATATTTTCTGAAATACTAAATAAATTTGTTGTTTCCATTGTAGGCCAATGAAGCATACCTGCAGCTGTTGATCAACATTACGGAAAGGTTTCAAAAAAGCAGAACTAAATTATTGAGTCTATGAAATAAACTTGCATCATTGACTGAAGCTTCATTTGTGTGGGTCGTCACTGTTTTTTGGTAGAAAAGAAGAAAGGATCATTTAGATTGTTTGTTTAATTGTTGATATGCCTCGTATCCAGTATCCTCTCCTCACTGTTTGCATGTGTTTGGGGAGAACACTTCATCCGTTTCGTTCTCTGGTAAGGGTAATCAAGGGTAATGGAAATGACAACAGTAGTTGTACGCAGTGTATTAACGGTAAAGTCCGGTGTCGGACGTCAGTATACGATGGGGCCACTGGCTGCCTCTAATGATGGGTCCCTTTTATGAGCTTGGGGTCAGTGATATTTGTGGTAAGTGGTAATAAGTGAGGTGACAACAGAGGAGGAAGTAGACCACCGACGAGGCTTTCCCCACTGTACTGTTTTCGAAGTAGTTTGTGTGATTTGAAGTCCCCTTCTTAGTTCCCAGTTGCCTAGTCCCTAGGCCTCATTATTTCGCGCGGCCAAAGCGTTTCGGGTCACGTGGTCCAAGCGAAATGAATTGACCGATAGGGACTGGGAAAACGCCGTACAGGGACTAGGAAAAGTTCACAGCTGATGAAAGAGAGATGAAGGAGACAAGCTCCATAATCTGTACAGAGATAATGATCCTTAACACAACCAGCATGACTTTCCGCTTTTTTTTTTAACCCTGACCGGGCTTTAAATCTGGGCCTCCCGTATTACGAAATATTTGGTTAACTGTTTACGTACCTTATTGGTTATTAATTTCGCGGGTACCGAGTAATTTCGCGGGGTTTCATTTTCGCGATTTCAGCAGGCAAATATGAAAGAAGAGTAGCCTGCGAATACATCGGTTTCTCCTTCAACTCCACGCCGCTGTTGCTGCAGGCAACTACTGACTGGCTGCCTTATTCCGGCACATAAAATCGTCAGACTAAACTTAAACTGGAACAAGATTATAGTTCAATCGTTATTACAGCTTATAAATCTAAGGTGAAAATTTCCAATAATATCTAGGCAATAATGCTGTAATTTCAAGCAATCTTCCACAATCAAAGGCAATACTACGAGGCAAAGATGGAGACCTTACAAATCTACGACATAAAGGAAACATCAATGAAGACGTCAGTGGGAAAAATAAATACAGATTTCCCAAACTAGAGAACTTCGAAAATAAATAGACTAGTTCAATTTGTAGACTTGTAGTTTCCATTGGCCGATGACGTGCTGCAAGAAGAGTGCGTGACAGCCAAGTACAAAGCTACCCTTATAATGACACAAACGTAACGTCAGACGAACAGTTGAAGTTGCTTCTAGTAGTTGAAAGTTAAATCATTGATATCTCAAGTATTTATAAAGTGCAACGCGACTTCACATCTTAACAACTGCGAAAATCTATCAATCTAAAATATACAACAAGTGAATCTACAATATCGAATCTATTTACCGTAGAGTTCCAGTAATTGCGTCAACATTCTGAGAAACGTAATGCCTCAATACACCACCATACAGGATTTCCTTCACGCCCTATTCTATCGATGGTCGAGTATTCTTCAGGGTATTTGCTTTTTAATACGCGTGTATGTAGACACTAAAATCAAGGGCCTTGATTTGGGGAAAATTACATCATTGGCAAAAAGCCAGAACGTGATCAACTACGCGCATCACCTTAATCATCGCCGAAAATAAACCACACGCTCATCACGAGTCTCATTTGCATAACATGAAAGTCGTCACGATCCTTATTCCCAGTTTCCACGGTCTCCGCTGGGAACGCCTGGGTGCACGACCTCCCTTTTGGTTCCCAAATACGAAGAAGAAAAACGGCTTGCAGATTTTGACTCTCGGTGCTACGGAACGTATATCTTTTACTATAGTTCATTTTATGCATACTTTGGCTTTGGAGATTTATAGGACTCTTAAGAAAAGCATTTTTTGTGACTCTTACAAACAGCGTTTTTAAGAGCTAAAAGAGTCCTTTAAAAGTCTTTAAAAGGACTCTTACGAACGGCGTTTGTAACAGCTGTTGCGAAATGCGTTTTAAGAAATGTCGCGAAGAGCCTTTTTAGTACTCTTGCGAAGGGCTTTTTTATGAACACTTACGAAAGGAGTTTTTAAGGAGTCTTAAAAACGGCGCTTACAAGGAGTCTTAGGAACGCCGTTCATAACAGGAGTCTTGGGAGCGGCGTTTTTAAGGAGTCTTAGAAACGGTGGCCGTTATAAGGAGTCTTGCAAACAGCGTTATAAGAGTCTTACGAACGACTTGGTGGAAATAACTTAGTTTTTGAGGATTAAATGATCTAATATGCCCACTTAGTAGACAGGATTTATATAGCTGGGCATTGTGAATGGCAGTAGTATGTTATACAGGGTGTGACATCTTTCCTTTTCAGTGCATGAGGGTCTGTGCACAGCTACTGATAATGATCCGGTATCTCATTGGGTGGAGTTCCTTCTAATCCCCTTTTTTAACTATATGTACTGTCAACGACACTTCACGGTTACGGACACTCCTATAATACGAACAACAGCTAGATGCGTAAGAAATAGACTGCAGACCTTTGACAAAAAATAAAAATAAATAAATTATGTTGGGCACTAACTTGAGATCCCGAAATTGTACTGCACAATAGCAGACCAAGATTGTATTACAATATCGGAACACAGTTACTGTTGCAAAATTTATGTTACAAAAAAATACGCATCCTTCGCGCAGACGTGTCCTATTTCCTTTGTTGCATCGGAAACAAAGCAAATAGGAGACGTCTGCACGCAGGCAAAAAAATACGCTTGCCGTTACTTCTGTTCATCAACGCTGTTTCTGTGTGTGTGTTTTTTATATCCAATTACGATGGCCTAACGACATAAATTTGCGCCTGATTTTAAGCTTCTTTCGAGGAAACACAAGTTTTCCCTTATTCCCAAGGGCGGGTTTAGTTTGATTTCGTTGAGTAGTCACGGGTTTTAGACAAAGGATCATGACGTCTCAGCGAACCCCTCCATTCCCCCAATCCCCTAACGGCAGCGATTTTGTCATATTGCCTAAATATCCCTACACCCAACAGGTCTGTAGGAACGAAGGTTAGCACTGCTAATGGCGCCGTACTCGACTGTTGTGGGCCGAGAGCCCATCCCCCCGTCCTCGCCAACTCTTAAAAGTCTGAATAAGCTCTAATGCAGACTGGGGCATTCATTTTTAAAAGCACCTTTAAATACAATTTGTTGCCAATTTCAGGCTATCCTCAGGAATTTTTAACCTGTATTCTAGCACATGAAAAAATATGATCTGCTACGTAACATTTGCATACCTTGTCTAACCCTAACCCTAACCCTAACCTCTGAGCCAAGCCGGTATAATACATCATTAACATAATATCTATATTATACAGTATATGAAATAAATCATATAAGAACTGCGGAAATGAAATCAAATGAAGAATGATCCTTGCAGATGTGAACGCTATGTAAATTATGCAATTGGGTAAGAAGCTTGAAAAAAAATTCAGGAGTTCAACGGGATTTAGCATCGCACCGGTATCGCGAGGTCACGGGTTCAAATCCAGTTGAAGTCTCGAACTTTTTTCTGGCTTCTCTTACGCAATTGCGTAAATTGCGTTAACAACTTCGAGCGGACCATTCTTCATTTGACAAATGTTATAGCGGGCTGTACCAGACGATAGAAAAATAAAAGGGACCGGTGTCCGCCGAGTGTCCACTCAAAAGTACGTGATTGTGACAGTGGAGGTTATTGGACTTAATACAAACCAGTATGACTGAAGTGTCCAAATTTTGACAACCTTTAAGGGTTTCTGGTGACAAAATCGTTAGCAACATCAATTATAGCCTGTTACAGGCTCTCAGATAGTGGCACGCAAAAACTTGGCGGGGCGCCAAAAAGCTTTCTCAATTCAGCGGACCCGACTATCTCGGAGCCTGGAACAGGCTACAACAATTAGATTTAGGTTGTCCGCGTCTTCCTTGTATACTGACATCAACATAAGGTTGTCAGGCATCCTTTCTTTGCGTTGTGGTAGACCTAAGGTAATTATCGATTCTTCTTAAGGCACTGAAAGACCTTTCACTCAAAAACATTTGTGGCAGGCATAACTAATATCAGTTTCACCAAAACTGTTGCAATCTCACTGAATAAAGCCATTTGCATTACGAAAGTCTATCATGGATGACACACAAAGGCTATGGAACTTTCTTGAGCATTCATTTTCAAAATAGACAGTTGCCTTTCAAGAAGTTCCATGTTTATGTCTGAGCCACAAAAGTTGCAGATTGATAATAGGGACTTTAAGATCCAACGACGCGGACGGCAAGGAGAACATCAAAAAAACAATTGGTTTAATAAGCAAAACAACAACTTTGCACGTGCATCACGCTTTTTTGTACATTTCTTTCCTGTTTTTGCACGACTACGAAGTGAAAATGCCTAACTTTGCGTTCTATAGAGGACGTAAACAAGCAACGACGAAACTTTATTTCTGTTTCTAAGTTTGGCTATGGACCCTTGAAATTCAGCTTCAGGAGGGTTCGCCTACATTTGACAAAGTAAGTGGGTACGAATAATTGCTATTAAGAATGAAGGAACGGAAATTCACTTTTTAAACGACGCTCTCGTTGTCGTCGCGTCGTTGGATCTTAAAGTCCCTATTAGCTCACTTGAGAAATCGTCTCCTGAAGCTCTATTGAGTGGCAAGTTTTCAACATTAGTAGAGAATTTTTCGGGGACTCTATACCGTAGTAACAGGATGGTAGTAAGCGGGTTCAATATGGAGAAGATGTAAGACCTTTCTTTTCCCTGGGACAACGCTCCCTTGTGCTTGCACTCGATGTAGTTTCTCACATCCCTCCGGTGTGATGTTTAAGTAGAACTCAAGAGCTGCGAAGAGTCTAGAATTTTTTATTGGGGAAATTTTATTGAAAATCGTCAGGAGCCGTGTTGTTTCTTACACTCCTTTAGTGTCTAGAAGTCGTTCAAAGCAGTTTCCAGCCGTTTCCAAGTGATTTTGAGGGGGATCTTTGTTTTCTACACACTCGGGGGCTTATGTAGAAAACGAAGAACCTGGTCAAAATTTTGTGTAATTGAAGATTTTGTTGTTTCTTACACATCTAAGGTCGAGATATCCGTTTCTAGATATTTATAAATGATTTTGAGGAAGGTCTTCGTTTTTGGGTGTTAGGTCTTAGGTCTTCGTTTTCTACCCACACACGCTAAAACTACTCTTTCATTGTTTACTGTAAACGATCCTTGCTAACAACTCCCTTCTGTGAATTTTGACATGTCACTGCGCTCAACCATCACGCACACGTAAGAATTAGGCCAATCGTTAAGCACATAAGAAACCCGTGAGAAACCCGCTTATCAGAAACGCTCTCATATGTCCTTGCGACTCTGAAGGGTATTAGAACGATTTTTTGCGCACTAATTCGCAGACGGACTATATATATATATTAATGGTTTACCCGAGTGCGTGGGCCTGCTGCAACGCAGGCTACAAATGGCTCTTAACCATACACATTGTTTGGATAACTGAAAAAAATATTGTTTATTACACCAAAAAGCGCAATGAAAACTCAAATTGTTGACACATACATGTACTAACAAAAAGGTACATTGCTTTCTATCCATTTTGGTATTTTCCTTCATCACCTGGTTGTGTTTTTTTGTATTGCTCATTGTTATTTCAAAACCAGGCCAGAGTACGTGCCAAATGTCCGAATATTCAGAGCGGAATACTTTGTCATGCACGTTCTCTCTCCACTAAATTATGCATATCTTTAGTTTTGTCGAGGTCTGGCAAGTGATAAGTCAACCACTTCCGATCCTATGAAGGCTTTTATAAACCTCTTATAAAACAGAATAAACAGGTATCAAGTTTGTTTTGGACTCTGGCGATAATTGAATAATTGCTTGTTTAACAACTCTTTTGTTTAAATATATTGACGTTATTAGTATTGCGATAACTGAAGGTCTTTATAATTTGTCTCACACAGTTTTTATTTACTACTGAGGCGCATTAACTAAATGTTGCAAATGTTGTCACGAAAGAATCCGTAAATATCCTCTACTTGTTTTCTTAATTATATGCGAGTAACCAGTGGAGTTGTCGGAGTTTCAGCGTTGGTTTCTCCACGCGCTGCGAGTGAAGTATGATGTTCTTGAAGATGAAGAAGGTGAACGTCATGGCTGAAACCATTAGTAAGACTCTTATCAGCTGTTTTTATCTTAACGAGATTCCTTAGACGTTGAGCAAAGCGATAGAGGAACGCCTTAAGTTCCTTTCTGAAATCTTTCGAGACT